CGAAAATTCATATTTTATATTTTATAGTATTTAAAAAAATATTACAGCTAGAAATATTTTGTAAAGTGCAATAGCATAGCCAAACATTTACGGTTATTTCCACAGAAGATCAATTGGTTATTGAAAAATTTGTAGCTGTCGTACTCAATAATCTGAATGAAGGTATCAAATTTCATACATATAAAAAAGTAATTTTTGCAAACAGCTACAAATATATTTTTTTGAGTGTTCTATGTAACCCTCACTAGTACCTGCGGAGTTATCATTATTAATTACCAGACATCCTATATAAATAAAACCAAATTTAAAAAAAATTTGACCACGATGCGTTATTCAAATCGTATAGATCAATAAAGCATTTATTAATCAAGATAATGATTACGATTTTAGATAGTTAATAACAACACATATCTACAATTTATTTAGACCTATTACTATTATTGGTGCAGTGTAGTCGTATCTTATGATAGATAATGCAACTCTGGTGGCTTGACGGGGGGTAGCGCATCTCTAAAATTTATTTAATAGACATTATCGTGCAATAGGAGTCTGTAAATATCTCCTTGAGCGAGCGAGCGATTATTATAAATACGTTTTTTGTTACTTAGGCCTGGACGAGTAATGCGCTTAATGCTACGAACAAAAAAGTCTGTCACTTTTTGTGCGGGGGAGCAAATACTACATAGACAGTACTGTACACTTACTCAATAAAAATTAGTGTCATTATGGCACAATAAGGTAAAATACATCAACATAGAAAAAGTAATGAGTGTAAGACCATATCGATAATTTATATCGATAGTTTCCCTAAGAAAAAGATAAAAACTCACAAGCATTAGCAAAATGCACTCGAACAATTAAAATCATCTTTTTAGATGGCGTAGTAAGTTTTTTTTTAGGGTTCTATAGAAACACAACAAGGAACGCTTATACAATTACGCGTTCAACAGTCTGTTGGTTTATATGCGGATTAATACAGAGACTTTTAAAAAGGCATGGTTAAACATGAATACAAAAAATAAAGACTCTAAGCACCAAAAACAAAAAGTGGAGGAACTTATGTTTTAAATAACAAGCCCTCATCACAAAAAAATAGTTTTATAACCGACATTTATATTATTACTATAAAATTCTTCTGTGTAACAAAAATAAAGTGTCTCAACTTATTAACTGGTACAATAAATATACAGGTATAAAATTAAAAAAAATATTTATTTCAGGTTGATCTTGGTGACAACATTATCTATTTTAAAACAGTATTCAAAGAAAAAACTTCCAAGTTTGCAACAAGTACTTACTAGATTCCCTGACAGAGGCATCTTTGGGAAAAAAATAAACAAACAGGTCCTAGAAAAGATAGGAATTGAAGAAAGTGAACTTTTAAAGAGACAATTAATAGCAACTTAAAAGTAACATTTAAAAACTGCCCAGAATTAAATGTTTTTTTTTTTTTTTTTTGGAAAACTTACAGCTAACATATTACGAATGGTCTTGCACGCAGACTTCCAGCTTTCAGAACAAGCCGGTTTTCGAAAAGGCTTTAGCACCATCATCATCATCATCATTAGCACCATAGACAACATATATACCCCTCGCCAAATTGTACAGAAGTCCAAATCTGCCACTTTGCCTGGCATATGTGGAATATAAGAAAGTCTTTGATTCCGTCAAAATTCAGTCGGTGCTACAGTCTCCTCAGCGGTGCCAAGTTGACTGTTGATATATCAAAGTGCTGAAGTGATTGTACAGTAGGGCTAGGATGACTATCCGAGTACAGAATCAGAGTACGAAACCTATCCAACTGCAAAAAGGTGTAAGACAGGGTGACGATATTTCCCCGAAACTCTTCACTGCTGCATTGGAAGACGTTTTCAAGCTACTGGACTGGAAAGGATATGGTATTAACGTCAGTGGCGAGTAGATCACTCAATTTCGATTTACCGACGATATAGTCCTTATGGCAAAATCGCTGGAAGACCTAAGTACTATTATGACCTTAGTAGTGTGAGGTCTTAAGATGAAAATGGACTAAACGAAAGTCATGTGTAATGTCCATGTCACACCTATGTCGATGGTTGTTGGGAGCACTAAGCTTGAAGTTATTGACGAATATTACCTAGGACAAGTAGTCCTACTAGGTAAGTTCAACTTCAACCCAGAGGTTCAATCGACGGATTTAACTCGGCTGGGCAGCGTTCGGGAAATTACAACACATCTTCTCGTCAGGTACATCTCAAAACTTAAAAACTAAATTGTACAACCAGTGCGTGTTGCCCGTGATAAACTATGGAACTGAGACGTGGTCCTTCACTGCTGGCTATATGAGGACGCTCAAAGTTGCTCGGCGAGTTATGGAGAGGGCTATGCTCGGGGTTTCTTTGCGTGATAAACATAGAAATGAGGATATCCGCAGTAGAACCAGAGTGATCGACATAGCCCAACGGATTAGTAAGCTGAAACGGCAATGGGCCGGCCGTATAGCTCGAAGAACCGACAACTGTTGGGGAAAAAAGGTTCTCGAGTGGCAGCCTCGTACCGGTATGCGAAAAGTAGGGCGACCACTCACTAGATGGAGTGACAACCTGGTAAGATGCAGGAAGTCGCTGGATGCAGGTGGCTCACTACCGTGCTTTGTGGCATACCTTGGAGAAGGCCCATGTTCGGCAGTGGACTTGTAAAGGACTGGAATGATGATGACAGCTAACACTAACAGTAAATAAATGTATAACAACTAGAAGGTCATTTAAAAGTTTTCACCTATAGGCATTATGAACTTGAAAACTATAATTCTAGTCGGTAAAAGATAAACATCGATTAAGTTAAATACAGTAATTTAACAAAATTAGAGATTACAGAAGAGCACTCAACAAAAGAATTGTTGCGCTAAAACATTTTTGATTCGAGAAACACTGGTATTAAACAAATTTAAGTTAACGCTTTTGGAAATGTCGCTAAAAGTTCTACATGCACGTATAATAAAAGAATTTTGCCTGTATTTAGTCCGGATATACGGCACGTGGAGTAAGCGAGGTTTTCTTAATTGGGGAACTCTTGTTGTAAATCCTAACTTACTTCGTAGCTCCGCACAGTCAACATTACCATTAGCTAAAGATAAATCATATCTGCTATGCGCCTACGTTCGTACAGAGGCAAAATATGAAATTTTTTACACCGCGAAATGTAACTATCAATGTAAAATTGCATCTTAAATTGCAGAAAAGGAAACGCTTTTGTAATTGCTCGATCTTATCTATATAAATTAAAATAATATTCTAAATAATATTCCCCAAAGTTAAGGTGTTTCACTCTATTTTTTTTGCGCCCGAAGCAAATATGGGCAACCCTCCGGAAAACGGGGGAGGGAGGTGGTGAATGCTCATAGCATACCACGCAGCCGGCTGCGTGGTTATGTGGAGACTTTTACTCACTAAACTCCACCTTTTAGGGACTGGCTTAACGGTCTAACTAGAGATCTCTAAGCCGTATACGAACGCGACCCTCCTTGACAGAAACGAAGGCGCAAGCGGCGAAAAGCCGCTTATACGAGTGCCTAACTAAGGCAGATTAAGGGATGTGTTATGTAGGCTCGGCCTGAGCCGCCAGGAGGCAGTTCAGGTCAGCCGAAAGCTTGTTGGGGGGGTTTCACTCTAATATTAATTAATACTAACCAAATCCTTATCGTTATTTAAGTTCAAACACATTGCAAGTACATTCAAACAGACAGATTCAAGATGTTTGTTATTTCTTCTCGCCACAAGGACTGAACAGATTTGGATACTCTGAATTAACACAGGCTATATTTGTCCCGGAAAATTAAAAAGTTTACAGGAACTTTTTAATTTTCTCTTATCCACGTGGTCACAAGTCTCACAAGTCTCGGATACCATTTAGATAACAAGTAAAATAAGTAAATATATATTAAATATAATAATTAAAGAAAGTTTTGGTATAGTTTAGTTATTTCTTGACTTTATTTAATCTAAGGACCAAAATTATTCATTCACACTTTTATTATAATAATAGGTAATCTTCTTTAGATGAGCGTTTTGATAAATTTTAATGCTCCTTGATGAATAATAATGAAAAATTATCGATATCGATCCGCACATCACACATCAATATGACACCATTTCCAGTTAAACACTTACCCTATAGTTGTCGCGTGGATTACAATAGTAAAGCACTGTAAAATAAACTCAAATTTGGATATTTTTGGAACCAAATTATTAGAAAAATATATGTAAACTGATTTGTGATCTGACTTTGAAATGAATGTGATATTTTCATATATTATAATTATATGTTGAAGTTTTTTTATATTATAATTTGAATAAAAAATGATGTATAAATGGTTTTTGTTTACTAAATATGATTAACCGTTGACTAAATGTTACCCTGTTTCATATTTATAATAAAATAAAAATAAATTTGAATGGATATTTTAAAGTTTTCTTCTTAATTTAAATTGGACTAATCCACGCAACCATTTACGTTATTTTATAAGGCGCGACCACTGCAGGGTTAAATAGTCTCGTCACGGTAATATTATAGATAAAATTACCGTGGTCTCGTTACACTTTTAATGTTTATATGTTGCTAATATAAACTAGTCTCGTAGAGTGCCATAGTGCTTGCGTGTTCAATTTTAAACCTAAGCTAAGTTGACTTTGAAAAAATAAATATATAACTAATCTCGTGGCACGCACCGTGCGTGTCAAATTTGATTATCACTACGATGTTTATAAAATATTATGTACTCCATTATCTTATCGGTAAAGTTCTCTATTATTATTTGCGATATTATTTTAAAAGATTATTATAGAAAGAAAGCATATATCACAATAAAAATACATACATATGGAATGTAATTCCATCTTTTTGTAAATTTGAAGTATTTCACTTCTTTTTGCACCCGTTAACCGCACCAATCGGCATTTTCTAAAAAGCACGTTCAGGAAACGTTTCTTCTAGTAACGAAAACGATTCCGTAAACTATTTTTATGAGAATAGAAAGTGATATTAGGCGAGTACAAGAGATGGTATATGAATATGATTTGGAGAAAATCGAATGTGGAATACAGGACACAGAGGAACAAATGAAGGAATTGGAAACAAAAGGACACGAGGAAGAAAACTTAAGGATAGAAAGTGATGAAAGGAACGGACAGAATGTGGAAAAACAGATGGTAAATGAATATGAAATGGAGAGAAGCTTATGAGAAGACCAGGAAACAGTGAAACAAATAAAAAAAACTGGAAACAAAAGAACACAGAATAGAAAAGCAGGAAATAAAAAAACAGATAGAAAGCCTAATAATAGAAAACGATGAAAAAAAGGACTGCAGATAAAACTTTTTAACGTGGTAGAGCCATGCTGCAATTATATTAGTAGTATAGTTGTAGCACGAATGGGTTGGCTCGACCGGGGAAGGACCACGCTCTCACAGAATACCAGCGTGAAATAGTAGCTTAATGCTGCTGTATTTCGTATGGTGAGTGTAGAGAACCGGATACCCTTTTTACTGGAAGTGAGGCATTCCATCTCAGTCCTCACGGGTGACAACGCATCTGCATTTTGATTTGTAATGGAAGATAGATGTAGATGTCTATGGGCCGCAGCAACCACTTACCATCAGGTGGACTGTGTGCTCGTTTGTCACCCTATCCTATAAAAAAAAACGACCTAGACTAGAAGAGCTATGTCAGAAGAAGATAAAAATGAACAAAATGAGAATGCAAATAAAGCCGAAAGTTTATATTGGAAGGACAATACATCTTGGTAAAGTTTAAAAGTACCAAAAATACGTATAAGTATTTTTTTACTGCGGCCTGATTACGAAAATATCCGAATGTGAAGGTGTTTTCGCGAAATTTATAAGATGTAAAAAAGGTGGGTTTTACTGGTCCACAGTACCCGATACAAGTATTGTATTCGATAATGATATACTTAGTGCAAATTTTACCCAACCCCTATAAAAACCAGCGTGGAATTTTATATTTTGATGTCAAATTTAAATATAAATTGGAATAATACTTTTAGTTTTATTTTAAATACACTTTGGCTGAAACTATGATAGTATAAGTATGATGAAATATGTGCCAACTAGTACTTTAAATACATTATATACTTTACAATTTTTACAAGTTTATCGCATGGTATTTACAGAACACTCCATGCGATTATCTAACTTGCATTTAATCAATGTTTTTATAGCCGTACATTTTAACTTCATTTTTAAACAAGTGGCAGCCCTGATAATAAATTACATTTGTATGAGAATTTCAATGGAGTCTATGCCATCTTTACCTATCAGCCTGTATCGCTCGTATATATATTTTTTATTTAAAGTACCAATACGTCTAAACAGAGAGTGCAAAGCGAAAGGGTATCTTTACCAATTTCAGTTACAAAGGCTTCATTTTATCGAGATATACGGTATAGGTAAAGTAGCCATTTTTGCGGCATCTTTACCTGTGTTATGTTTTTGGTGCTGCTTTAGTGGTTTTGCAGCTATGAGGAGCAGTGCATTTATAAAGCAATGTGGAAGTAATATATTCATCGATTAAAAAGAATAGCTTATTTATAAGTGTTTTATTTTTCCGTTTATTAAGTTTTTTCTTCAAAAATATGGTAAAGATGCCGTGGTTGAGGTATGTATATTTTTGTTAATTTTTAAAGGCAATCAAGTACATTTTATATTTTAAAAGTCACGGTTTAGTTTTTAATGCGAAGTTTCCTAATAGAAAATTATTTTATATGTGTTTATCTAAAGTCTGTGTACAACACTTCCTGTACACAGTTCTTTGGAATTAGAAGTGTACGATAACATTGTGGCCTACTTTTAGCTTTTGTCCCAAATATACGGCAGTTTCTGTAGAATTTTATACGAGCACTTGTTAACGACGTCTAGCGTTAAAAGAGCAACTTAAGAGAGAAATAAAAAGCCTTACTTTGTGATGAAATATAACTTGCTGTCAAATAAAATTTTCAATGCTCTATCAATACAAATAGCTTTCGACTGATTGTGCATGAATAAAAAAGAGTAGGCGTGTAAAAGTTGGTGGATGCCAAGTGCTTTATCTCAGAACTGTGTTTTGCGGCATTCCTTATGGAAACCTATTTGGAGCTGTGGCCTTGTAAATGTTTATAATGTTGATGATTATTTATAAAGCTTTATGGGCTTCATGATTTTTAAAATAGGTTTCAAAACTTACAAAACAGTAGGTACTGCTAGTGATTATACCCTTAAAATTAAAAGAGTGTCATAGATTAAATATCTAGTTCACTGGGTCACTAAGGTGCTCACAGATGATCTGAACATTACGAAGGATTTCAGGGCTCTGTTTGTTACTGCGAATATACTGGTTCGCAGGTTTGGTCGTCGTGCCACTCATTTTAAAATTACATTATTTAGTGCATACAGCAAATTTTTTCTACACGTGTAGTATGTGTCACATTCAATATAATTATTCTGATCGTCATGATTACACTCCATCACAATTCTACTATTGAACCTCTCCTAAGGAATGCCACAAAGCACTGTCCTGAGTCACCTGTAGCCATCAAATTCCTGCATCTCTCGCCAGTTGGTCACTCTATCAAATGCGCGGACACTTGAGAACATTTCTTCTCCATCAACAAGCACATTATTTCATCATTTTCAATGTTTAATAGTTTTTCTTATGGGTTACTTAATTATATTTTAGGATATTTCATTATGCTTGGGCGGAGCACCGCCGGGTCCTCGTAGCGGCGATAGGCGGCGGCGACCTCGCGTCCGGCCCTGGTCGAAGCCATGGTCCGGAGCGAGACGGAATGGGATGCCGTCACCACCTTCTGCGAAGCAGTGATGCTAGCGAAGGAGGTGGCGGAGCGGGAGAAGGAGAGAGCAGCAGCTTTCCTCCCCGGCCGCCGCGGGAGACGCCCCGGGCGTCGGGGGCACGTCGTGGCCCCCGGCCACCGTAGGCGCGGGCCTGTGGACGGCGAGCAATGGGTAGCTCGTCGTCCGTCCGTCTAATGACGACAGGCCGTGTCGACGGCGCGTTTTGTTCCACGCGCGCCTCAAAGAGCTGTCAGCAGCGTGAAGGGGCCCGCAAGGGCCGACGCCTGCCGGGGCTGCGGGCTGTTCGAAAGAGATACCGCGGCTCCGGAACGTAAGGGCACTGAAGGAACACGGATGGTTTTTAGTCAGTAAAAAGTCTGACACTCCCTTACGCTCCACCCAGAGCGAAAGGGGTCATTATATGATTTTCCAACCCCAAAAAAAAAAAAAAAAAAAAAAAGGATATTTCATTATATTTATGTTTGTGTTAGTCATATATTTTCTTTTAAAAAAAATTTAGATCTTTGTTAACTGTAATAAATAATTTCATTGTTATTATCTATACAATCTATAGTAATTAAATTTCAAGCCGAGCAAACTATCAATTTACTTGGCCTTGAAAACGATTATATGCGAACGAAATTGCGAGCACAGCTAAAAAATAGCCTTCACGCTTAAGGTTTCTTGGAACTTTTAATTTGATAATGTTGTCAACTATACAAAAATTTTAAGCAAAATTGGTTCGCTGGACAAAAAACTGGAAAATTGGACAATTAACAATTAACCCTTTGCATATTCTGTGGAAGTAAAGTAAGCTATAAAGAATAAATAATGAAAAAAAAATACAAAAGGATCTGGTAATGCAAACATATGCCCAACCCCTATTCTACCAGGGTTAGGAAATTCATAAAATTTTGTGATTTTTAATTATACGCTGGAATTACACATAATAATTATAACTTCACACATCATGTAATTAGCTCCTGTCAGATTCTACTAACGTAGTCATTAGATATTTCATGTTTTTTTTTATATAGAAATGAGAATGGTAAATGGTATACAGCCCACTTGGCAAGTCAACACAGCATCATATTTTTTTTAAATGGGGGTAACGAATGAGCACACAGTCCACCTGATGGTAAATGGATGTTGTGACCCAAACACATCTACATTTATCTCCGATTTGGAATCATAATACAGATGCGTTGTCACCACTGAGGACTACGATGGAATGCCTCGTTTTCAGTAAAAAGGGTACCCGGTTCTCTACACTCGAAACACGAAACGCAGCAGTATTAAGCTGCTTTTTTTTCGCTGGTACACTGCAAGAGGGTGGTCCTTCCCCGGTCTGGCCAATCCATTGGTGCTACAACTATAATATAGTTGTAACGTAGCTCTACAACGTACAAAAATTTTACACTTACATCACACTGATATTCTGTGAAAACGTGGTTTCTCCCCGATCTAATTAACCCCATCGTATTGAAGCCACAAAATTGCTTGGTTTTCACTATGTATAAAAATGTAGTTTTTATTTGACCATACAATAATGATTTCTTAAATTTACGCGAACATTGAATAAAACTATTATTTACGGATTTTATCGCGTTTCCTGTTTGTTTAAAGTTTCGATGCAATTATTAAAAACAAATGTCGTTAAAATTGTCTTTAGTTCACTGGACAAATTGTCTATGGTGTTATTTATGAAGTCGGTCAGCTGCTGACCTCTTGGGTTCCATTGCCCTATTCCAAATTTCCCTAACTTCAGCTCACCGCTTTCTCTTGTGCCTAGTTTTGCGTTTTGCGTCTCCCATCAACACCGTATAATAAGTTTTAGAGGAATGCATGGCTCTCTAGAGATATCCTCATATATTTCCTCTAGCTTCTCATCGGGATGTGCCGATGTGATTTTTGGTGATTCTGAGTGTAGTACGCGACCCTTGTCGACACACTCTCAATCTTTACAACGTTGTTGACGCGGGACTTGTGGACGATATCCAACTACAAAGGGCGACTCGATCTGTCCCCTCTTTGGGACTCTCTTCCGGTGATAGAACAAGTTACCGGATTCCAGGATTACCGTGTCCTCCAACTCTCTTCTGACCACGGATAATTCTATAATATTCAAGCGCAACTTGTCTACCTCTTCCTCCAGCTCCACTATCTTCTCGTCAGTCTTCAGGGTGCGTGCGTTATATGTTGCCAGGTCGAGTCGTCGTAGGTGGCAACCGAACCTCCATCGGAGATTCTTAGCACCCCTTGCCGTTACCATGGTCGCCACCGTAGCCAGGAATAGCGGGACCGCCGGGGACTGGGGGCCGTTTGTTTGTGTCACTACTCATGGGTAAATATTTGCCATAGTTGCCACGCTTAGCCAGCGGTTTGGCAACCGCAGT